TACAATAATAAAGACTTTACAATAATAAAAAAAATGGGAAGAAGCCATTATTAAAGGCATACTCGGATCTCAACGTTATGAAGTATATTTTGCCGTGAATTACGGTTAGTACTTCACAAGAAAGGTTAATTCTTTGAATTCTCATTGAGACTTGTAATGGACCAATTATGGAAAAGAACCGAAATATTAATTGAAGAATACGAATTAGAAGAGAGAACTGAAGTAGAAGAGAAAATCGAAGAGATAGTAAACAAAGAGATAGACAAAGTAGTAAACAAAGAGATAGTAAACAAAGAAATAATAAACAAAGATATAGTAAACAAAGAGGATGCAATAAAAAATAACTATGAAATGAATTTCAAGGAGAGGAAGGAAGAAACAAGTCAAGATTGATAAAAGGATACGATCGAAACCAAATAGACTGGGGATAAATAATGCGTATTAAATTGTTGTTTTTGTTATTTTATGTATATGTTTATTTTTTTATTAATATATAATTTGATATAAATTTGATAAATAAATGATGATTTTGATTTTGGATACTAAATAAAAGAACAAAAAGATTTAGATATTTTATTACTACTAAAAATACATTACACCCTACAATACAGACACGCCTGTAAGCATATACTATGATGCGTCAGAAACCAGGCTAGTGGGTCACGTTTTTTATAAAATTTATAATGTCAGATGGGGGCTAACGTTTCGCTTTTGGGTCTTAGCACGTTATCATTGCCGAAAATTTCTTTGCTCCTACAGACCGCAATGGTGTTTTTTGAAAGATTTGCCGTTCATAAATAGCATGTGATTTATCTTGCAGAAAAATTATTTATTTATTTATACAGAGAACGACATACTTGCTATAATAATTTGACAAATAGAGGCCTGTGAAAAATTAAGAGTTATCGGTTGGTGCAATAGGCACTTGAATCAGTTGAACTAAAATTATGAAATTATTATATCGTATTGGAAGTTACAGTATATACAAGATGCATTATCACTTTTAAGTAGAGGAGTAGAGGACGCGTCATAACACTTACAAAATCAGAGAGATCCAGACTGTGCTCACGCACAGGAAAAAAATATGTTAAGTTAAGCTATACTGTCAAAAACAATCAACAGAATAAAGGGATTATGAATTAGAAAAACTTAAATATCAAAAAAATATATAATATAATATTTCGAGTTTGAAATGATTTATGCAACTTCATAAAACCTTGGATAGGATGTCAGGGAAATGGTCTCAGAATTCGTGAATTCCCATAATTCTAAGGTAATATAATATTGAAGAGGATTATTGATTTGTCAGTATAAGTGTCGTAATTTTTTAAGGGATCAGAACAATCCGAGATCATCACGGGTTTTAAAGGGATAACTAAAAAATTAGAGTTTAAGTTAAGGAATGATAATACGGTATTATCACGTTTTAATCGTGATAAAGAGGAATCTTATTTTAAAAAGCGTTTTCCGCGCGTTTGGCTTTATTTCTTTTTAATTTTATTGTTATTTATTAATTTTCAATGTTTTTTGGCCTTGTGAAATATGATTTATCTAATATAGGGTATCAATCGATAGCTAATCAAAAGATCTATTCAACTGGATGTCAATCTCTACCCTTTAATGGGCGGGTCTAGGCCTGGGGGGTCAGGAATATTTTTATCAAAATTAAATATCGATATGGGTATCAAATAATAGCTAATTTTAATATCTTTTGACTGAAAGTCTTCATTCTTGGTCTTGATGAGTATGACTTAGTCTGAGGGGTGGATTAGGGAAGAAGGGTTGTAAAAAGTAATTTTTTTTTGATATGGGAATCAAATAAAAGGTAATTAAAATATTTATTTATAGAAATAACAATAATCACTTATAGAGGGCGGGTCGGTCTTGGGGGGTCAGGAATATTTTTATCAATACAAAATATCGATATGGGTATCAAGTAAGCTAATTTAAATATCTTTAGATTGAAAATATTCTTTTTTTGTCTTGATGGTAAGACTTGGTCTGTAAGGGGGGGGGGGGGAGGTGTATGGAGGGGGGGGGGTGTAAAAAAAATAATTTTTGATATGGGTATCAAATAAAAGGTAATTAAAATAGTAATAATAATAATCCTTCATACCGGGCTGGTTTAGGTCCTAAGGTAGTGGAGGGGTGAGGAATATTTTTATCAATACTAAATATCGATAAAAGCAGGGGTTAAATATAGTCATTGCTTTTTAAAAACTAATTGTAGCCTAATGATAAAATTATTTGCTAGCAACTTAATCCAATTTGTAATATTTTTAAATCTCAAAATTTTGGCTATATTTAAAGCCATCGATTCACAAATTTTAAAATGACATTATAAATTTTTCTTATTGCAGTTATAAATTATTACACTTCTTTGTAAGCAAATCATCTTCTCTATTATTATATTTTTCTTCAAATCAACACATATTTTATTGATTTTGATAATTGGAATTCAAAATTTAATTTTGAACAATTAATTATTTATTAGTTACACAAATAATATTTAAGGGACATTTTGTGGAACAATTAATGCCATTTTTAAAACTTTGACATCTCTTATTGTTGCAACTTTTTTTGGCAATTGCAAATTTACTTACAATTACCATAAGAAGATGCACCTCTTGGTGCTTTTATTATGATGGTCTTATTAGGAATGGTCGTAAATTTTATTGAATATGAACGTTCGTTTTTAAAAATTGGGAATCAATTTTTCACCAAATTAGTTATACCCATAATTTTTCGCTCTCCATTTGGATAATTTCGGCATCAATATTTTTGGGGAATAGATTTGATCTATCATTTTTATTTATTGGGATCAGTTACGTGAATCCCCAATGGGAAAATTTTATTTTTTTCATTTTATTTTTGTTAACATTATTTTGCTTATCTCTATTTATTAAATATGCAATAAACGATGGTAGTCTTGCTAAAATATTTTCTATGCTATTTGCTTATTGAGTTTGTAGTATTTTTATCTTACCATAATATTGTGTTTGCCAATTTTATATTTCGTTCTCTCCAAAAGAATATATTCAATATTGTAAAATGATTCGGACCAGACCTCTATGAGTGATTATAATTGTTACAATAAAAAAATATTTTAATTACCTTTTATATGATGCCCATATTAAAAAAAATTATTTTTTTGTCCCCCACCCCTTCATCCACTCTCCAGACCAAGTCATACCCATCAAGACAAAAAATGAATACTTCCAATCTAAAGATATTTAAGTTAGCTTTTATTTGATACCCCATATCGATATTTCGTGTTGATAAAAATATTCCTGACCCCCCAAGACCTAGACCAGCCATCTCTGAGTGATTATTATTATTACAATAAAAAAATATTTTAATTACCTTTTATACCCATATCAAAAAAATTGATTTTTACAATTCCCCCTCCCTCTATCCACCTCCCAGACCAAGTCATACCCATCAAAACCAAGAATGGAGACCTTCAGTCAAAAGATATAAAAATTAGCTATTATATGATACCCATATCGATATTTTATTTTAATAAAAAATATTCTTGACTCCCCAGACCTAGACTCGCCCATTAAAGGGGTAGAGATTGACCTCCAGTTGAATAGACCTTTTGATTAGCTATCGATTGATACCCTATATTAGAAATCTTATTTCATAAGGCCAAAAACATTGAAAATTTATAAATAACAATAAAATGAAAAAGAAATAAAACCAAACGCGCGTAAAACGCGTTTTTAATTAAGATTCTTCTATATCATGGTTCAAACGTGATTAATATAGCTATTTATCCTTTAAAAAATTGAATTCTTAAAGGGATCCCTTTAAGACATATGATGATCCCGGATAGTTTTGATCCCTTTAAAAATTACGACATATATAAATTGAAAGCACTGGTTAGTTCATATTAGATTGTCTATTCGAGTGAGCAATATAATATCGAATATAATGTTAAATGCATTTAAGAGACCTTTTCGTTCTGTTTGAAGTAATAAAAAAAAATGTATAACCGATATCCGAATATAGTTCACAATATTAACAATTCAATTTTAAACTGAATGACCTATAACCAATCATTTTAAGCCCCTAACGTGCAAAAATTAAAACTGATTTTAAACTTTGTTAACTTCTTCGTAATTTTTATATTCGAATTCTCGTTTATAAGTGATCATGTATTTTATACATATCAGGGTGAGATATAGAAGAATTTTTTTTTTATTAACTAAAAATGATTTATAAGATCGGCAAAATTTTTGATTGGAGGGGGGAGGGGGTTGGTTAGGGGAATGGTTGGGAATTTCCCGCTTATCTCCCCCGCCTCCGCCTCCGTCTACGCATATGTTTTACTATACAACAACAACTAAAATACCATTATAAAAAAAAACATTTTGAATTTTTTGGAAAGAGTAAGGCTTGAATTATCTAATTTTTGCGAAATATTTGTTTTTTTATTATAAAAAGATCAAGGCTATTAAAAAAAAATTATTTTTGCAAGGCCACAACATATAGCCCATGATAAAATACTGATTTTAAATTTTAATAAAATTGCCATCTGAAATAATAAACAAATTATTATAAATTTAAGTTTTATTTTTATGAAAAAAAGTACCTTTTAAAAATATATTTTTGTCTTAAATTTGTCTAATGTATTTTTATTTTTATTTTTATTAACACCTAAAAAAATTTCTAAAAATATAGATTTACATTTGAAGAGAAATATATTCTAAAGATATTTACTATTTTTAATATTTTTAATATTTTTTAAAAATATAAAAAAATTATATAAATAATTCTTAAATATATTTTTCTCAAGGACATATTTTACATCTTGGTTTTTTTTATTTAACGGGGTATTATAAATTCTAAAAATCACTTTTTCAAATTTTTAAATTTTCCAAAAAAAAATAAATATAATTTATCCTCTAGAAAAAATAAATAAAATTAATTAATTTAATTTTAAAAAAATTATTTTTATATAACAAAAATAAAAAATGAATAATAAATTAATCTCCATGATTCTTGTTGGGATCTTCGCGTTGGCATATTTTGGAATAGATGACGCCAAAGGTAAGCAAAGTCTCTTTTTCTTAAAGACTACGTACTAAATAATTTTTTTTTGGTAGTACTTGGTTAGCTTCAATCTAATTTTTCTAGTAACTCATTCCAAGTTGCTTATTGGGCAGAAAAAAATAGATGAGTGCTAATTGGGGAAATAAAATAAAAAAAAAAAATTTATGATTTTCCTTTTTAAAAAAAATCCTTTTAAGCTCAATGCGTGATTACGATAAATGGAACGAATTTCACCGATGGTAAACTTCCTCCACCTATGTCCTATTATAGTAAAAAAAAAAATGAAAAAATTAAATGAAAAAATTGTCTCTTCGTTATTAATACAAATAGTGTTATTACCCGGATAGTTTTGGGCCGATTTTTAAAAAAACCGCAAACTCAATATTTTATCCAAGATTAATATTACACATGCCTGAAGATTTGGCTCATAGAAGGAACAAAGATCTAGATATACAGCATCGAAATCTTGAGTGTTAGGCAATACTTTTCTGGCTGTAATAATATGAGTTTGCCGTTTTGAAAGCCGTTTAATATAATAATAATAATAATATAAATTTTTTTTTTTATATTTTATCTTCTTTAACTTTCCCTAAATAAATTTATTTTAAAGAAACCCAATTCCCAATAACATATATCGTAGATATGGGTGCCGCGGTTTGCAAATTTAAGATCGATATGTCGCTCTATGTCAGTGGGACAAATATAAGTGAGTAAAATAAAAAAAATCAAAAATTCTTTTCAGTATACGTTATACCTTGTAAAAAAATCTTTTTTTTTTCATTCATTTATTTAGTGTGTGTGAGTTTTGATTCAAAGTTAAAGTATGACTTAGTTTATTTTATAATTTTTTTAATGGAATAACAAATTTATTTGCTTACACTTTTATACTAATATTGACGAATGTCCCCAAGGAAAACGTGTAATGAATAAAAATTTGTTATTTTCTGACACTAGTTTTACTTTGAACTACGATTAAGAACCGAATGAGGCTAACCCTAAATCTTAATCATTTTGTAATTCGTTATAACTTACATCCTTCATTTATAGTCTTTATTAACGTAATTTTTGACCCATGAATTTGTTTACTAAATTTTTTTATTTATGATAACGTAACTTCTGTATTATGATCATCGTTCAGCTGCTACCAATGGTAATGACGTGAAATATGTATACAATAGTGGTAAAGAAGATAAATCAAAAGCCTCGAACGCAAATGTCAATATAACTTTGGTTCAGGGTAGTAAAATGGGTGGATACCAAAATTTAACATTGAATGTTGATGTTCTAAAACAAGCCCCTACTACCATTGTTGTAAGAGTTTAATCTAATTCTTCTCTCTCTTTCTTTCTTTCTTTCTTTCTTTCTTTCTTTCTTTCTTTCTTTCTTTCTTTCTTTCTTTCTTTCTTTCTTTCTTTCTTTCTTTCTTTCTTTCTTTCTTTCTTTTCTTTCTTTCCATTTTTATTGCATTTATTGTATTAGTTTCATTTTATACGTTATTAACTTTTGTATATTTTAGCTTGCCACTCAGAGTTCATCAACAAATATCAAATATAGTTTTTTTACCTAAAACTACGGTTGCCATATTAAAAAAAAAATTAATTATGAAATATTCTCCTAAATATTTATCAATTGATCAAAATTAAAAATTTTATCTTGAAATTGTAATAATTTATTAATTTGTCAAAATTAAAGAATTTTAGCTTGAAATTGTTTATTAAATTTGTAATTTGTAATCATTTATGAAAAAAAAATTAAAATTATTAAAGTTATACATACCATTATTTGATTTTTCTTTAAATGAAGTAATAATTATAAGATATGTAAGGTTTTAGTCTTTGGATAATATTTTTTTAAGGTATACGAAGTTAAAGATGTTAAAAAAATAAGTGTTTTAATAGGAAGTGATTTGTCATTTGTGTTAATTAATCATTTATGAATTAAAACGTATATTTGTGTCAAATAGTAGATGCGGCTCAAACTCTGAGTATCAAGTTAGAGTTAAATATCAAGCTTGGCCGAGGGAAAGGGAGGCAGTCTTGTTTGACATTAAAAATAGAGGTTCTCCATTAAGAAATCCGTTTCAGATTATAAATAATCTGGCCTTTCAACACCCAAAAAATATTCTAATGATTGTTTAAGGTTTATATTAAAAAAAAATTAAGCGTAAATATAAGTTGTATGAAGCCATGCTTAGGGTGCATTGCTAAATGTTATCATAAACGTTAAATACTATAGCCCACATGACTTTCTTGATTGGAAGATTGGATTTTCTTTAGAAGTTCCGTTTGAAATTATTGTAAATGTTACAATTAAGGTTAGTGTTCCGAATCAATCAAAAGTTTTGATGCGTTTCGAATTCCAGTAAATAACAGATTCTAGAAGATTCTATAGAGAGTTGCCAGGCCAGGTTTTCAAATCAGATAATTATTTAAGCGAATGTTTCTTAAAATAAGTTCGACTTTTTTCTTTTTTTTAAAAAAATTATTCGAAGAAAAAGGGGTCTAAATTCTTTTCACTTACAGGCAAAGATGTATTTTTGAACTTCTTTCGTCCGTTAAGATTATTGAAAATTATGGGGTTTCGAAGCTAAGTCATAATTGAAGCGTCTTAAAGTTTTTTGCCATTCGCTCAAACGTTCTAGTTAGGGGTAAGAAAGAACTCATTAACTCGTTGAAGATGTGGTATGTAGGCACACATCAAAATAATGGTAAATTTCTACTTATTTCCCCCATCATATTTATCAAATGTAAAAAATAAAATCTTATCAGGACAAAGTGATGTTAAAATTGGTAAAATTTGATGTTTTAATTAAAATTTGCATAAAATAAACTTTACCATGAATAAACTCTTAACTTTATACATATTATCAGTGTGTCAAAGTTAAGCGTTACTTTTTATTTAGTAGCGGTAGTTTTAGTAAGCTACTTTAGCAAAAAAAATAGCGATAGCAGTAGTAGCTCGCTACTTTTAATTTTAAATAAATACACATAATGATTTATTTTAAAAAATAAATTTATATTTAAATTTTCTAAAATTATAATCTTATTTTATATTTAATTTAATATTTAAATCTATATTTAAAAATTATTTTTAAAAATATATTTATATTTAAATTTTCTAAAATTATAATCTTATTTTATATTTAATTTTATATTTAAATTTAAAAAATCTGTAAAAATAAATCCATTTTCTAAAAATGAGATGGCAAAACCAAATTATAAAAAGTAAAAAGTTGTTTAATTAAATTTGGAACACAGAATAAGTATAAACGATTACAAAAGGAAACGTCTTTTAAATATTGATAAACTTTAGATGTTTTGGCTTCATTAGTTATCACAAAAAATATAGGAAAAATACCTGCTAAGGTTTGTCAAACTGCATAAATTAAAAATTACCATAGTACGGTGGAATTAGATTGTGGAAGAATTCTAACAAAATATACTTTACTTTGGTGTCCTGCCAATCAGACACGCCAATAGGGATAGCCTGTGATATGCTGAAAACGGTTTGGTAGCTCTCATTTTTCATATAATATGCAATGTCTATTGGGAGTCAATGCCATATTGCTAATACGTCCAAAACGATCGCTATTGCGTAGAAATGCTCCTATAGACCATGATCTGCCGCAGATGAAATTAGGAAGCTGCGCAGATGCATTATCACTAAGTAGAGTGCACTTATTGGATTGTCATAATAAATGTCTATCATAGATGGAAAGTTATATTATCAATATATTGTCGATTACGGTTATTAATGTATTAAGTGATTCCCTTGTAAAACCTCGTGTTCAAAGAAAAATTATAAGCGAAAACGGTATGATAACAAAAGTTATTAATTTAGTTCGTAAGTTAAATTGCATAAGCCCTATCATTTTAAGTCCCTGTCAAAACACATGGTAGAAGGAGCTAAAAAGAGTGTTAAAGATAAGTATTTTGAATGCAATGGAAAACAAGATGTCAAAATTCAGATAGCTCTAATATTAATATTATATTGCATCAAAACATTTAACTTGGAAAAATTGCTGGTATAGTGAACCATTTTTGAAGACTCTTCTAGTTTTAAATCAATGTCCAAATACCTTCGCATAAAAAGGCGGAGGAATATGGAAACCACAAATTTTACTGCCAAATGCAAAATTTGCTAATAATTTGACAAAGTGGATAAAAATGAATTAGAAACGGGCTAGAACCCTGGTACTATATTAGTGTGAAAAGTAGAACATGCTTATGAAATAGAGTTATATGGAAAAAGAATTTTAGCAAAGCATGTAACAACTCAGAGGGTCACTCAACAAGATGATCAAACATCCTGGATCCAAATAATCGTGAAGAAACCAAACCCTGGAAGTGAAAATTTTTATAGAATACTGATAGAGAATAGATCAAAAAGATAGTGGTTTCAGGGAATATTATTAGCTCATTTTTAGGTAACGGGGATATGATATGAAAAAAATATAAATTAAGTTTAAAATTAAAATAATCATTTCCGAGAGGAAAATATTCAAATTTCTGCTTTTGACATGATGTATTTTATCATGTACAAGGGTTGCCAATTTCTAAAACGACTCTAATTATTTTTTATTTAAATTTAATCCTTTTTGTTAATTTAATAATCTTATAAAATAATTAGATTAACGTGCCGTATTTATGATAACCATTGATATTTATTTAAATGGCAAATCACGATGCACTTTTAAGTTCTTTCACTGAGAAAAAAAAAGAATATAATTTTAATTGTACTTTCAATACATTATATGTGATTACCATTGTGTGTAAGAATTGTAAAAAAATGTATCTTATTGATATGAAATATATAAAATGAAGAATTGATAAAATTAAATTTAAAGAATAATGTGATGAAATAAAAATTGACAAATCCCAGACATGATAGTTAGGATTAAAAATAAATAAAGTTAGAGATTAAAATTAAGTAAAGTTAGAGAGTGAACATGAGTCAAAGATGGGTTATAAATAATTCAAAGAATATTGTAAGAAATTTATATATATAAAGGCATAATAGGGTATATATGTAAGGTAAAATAATTATAATAATTTTTTGATTTTATATATGTAAATGTGGATTCATATATATATATATATAAAAAGCTATAATAATGATATAAGATATTGGATGGCATTGGAATATAGTTTATTTATGGAATTTTGGTATATTAATATGTGATATTTATATAATTATAAGTCTCATGTGAATATTGGTATCAGGAATTTTGTTTTTAAGATCTGAATTTAGGATTAAGAAGTGTATCTGGGATAATGCTAAAAGGAAAAAATAAAAAATACATGACTTATTGTAAATATTCTGTCCAATCAACTACAATGATTCTGCCATCATATCAGCTACAATGATGCTGGATTAATGATACCAAGCCTAAGATAGAGTTATCAAGACTAACCAATGATGCAATGGATCAATCAAGCTATGACTCAACCGTTAAGATTTAATGACAATCAACAAGTACAATATCAATCTAGCTATGGCCTACTAACTGTTAAGACTAAATAGAGGGGCGTCATTAGTCTTTACAATCTCAGGGGACTCAACTTAAATTTTACTTTTTTATTCCAAACTCTTAAATCATTCTGAATTTGGTTTTTTGTCATTTATTATGTCTACAAATAAAAAAAGTAAAACAATACAAAATTTCTAAATATAATATTTTTTAATACAAAATATTTATATATTTATTACAATATTAAATATTTTCGATTGAAATATAAATATATTTTTTGTCCTGTGAATTACAAGTGATACGAAAGGTTAACCTCTTGAGAGTGGTTTTTAGGTCTAACTAAATCATAGAGGATAATATAAACGACTAATCCAATTCATAAGTAAGACTATATGGTGATAACCTAGATTATATTATGAAAGCTAGATAAGTAATCGAGAAAATTATTGTGAGATATTAAATTTCTTAAAGATTATTTTCCATTTTTATGATATATAAACGACTAGACAGTTGACCATTATAGCTCATCTAAATTATGCAATCAAAGGTTCTCAACAGCATGAGTAATAATCTTAAATTATATAGCCACACAATAGATGCTGGTTAATTTGCAGTCATAGAAATGACACTCACTATGTAAACTCTTCTCAGAATTTATTATGTTATATAAATTGATAAAACAAAAAAACTAAAAATCTTAAAAGAAATAATTATGCAAATATATTGAAGCCTTGAGTTATTTACAGGGCAAGGATTATATCAGAAATGAGACATTTTGTAACTATAAAATAAGAACCAGACAGAGTGATATGATGAACAATTAAGATTTTATGTATTATTGTCGCTCCACCTCTAGTTGGTATATTATATCTTTAAATAATAGTAGTTTCTAATAATATCAAAAATATACTCGTATTAAAAATCAAATAAGAAAAAAATATAGCTTTGTTAAAAACATGTAAAAAAAAGAAAAGAAAATATAATAT